GTTTGAAACTCTTCGGTTGAGGCGCAGGCGTAAAGGCTTCCGAAGTTGCGATTCTACGTATCTCAGACTCAAACGTTTCCGGGGGTCTCATTCCTCGAAAAAGCCAACTCATAGACTGGGTTCTTGTCGAGGAATTTAGTTTAAGTTACTATAATATAGGGATCTATAGCAAACAATATGGTTTCTTTATGATGCTAACTTAAATCAAACCCTTTAACAACAACCCAGTAGACCCCGAGTCCATCGCACTGGCGGCTTGCAGAACTAGGCCCTAAACCCTAAACCCTAAACCCCTAAACCCCTAAACCCTAGACCCTAGACCCTAGACCCTAGAACCTAAACCCTAAACTAAACCCTAAACCCTAAGAGTTACGTATGGGTGACGCCCTAGGCTCTGCGGTACTTGTGGTTGGAACAACCCGGAACCAGGCGACTGAGTCGAGGGTTTAGGGTTTAGGGTTTAGGGTTTAGGTTACGTAACTCCATGAAGAAAAACCCTGAGCCCAAGCGAACCCAAGAGCCCAGCCCCCCCCGGCACTCGCTGTTCTCCGTCGCATGGGTTCGGTCCATGACTATCTGGTGCTTAACGCCTCGGCTCCCCGCAGACAGGTTTTCAGGGTTTAGGGTTTAGGGTTTCGTGTGGGTTTCACATTGACTCAATTACTTTGGGGACACATGGGTGGCCATTCTCTCATCTCCAGGCCGAGATATAAGCACTCGAAATGCCATGCATGAATAGATAAAGCCATAGCCACCTAAAGTGGAAAAGGCTGGCATGAACCTTTGAGTTCTACCCCAGATCTGCAGCCGGAAGGAACTGATAAAATGTAGGGGCCTGACTGATGAGAATATGGATCTTAGGGTGCATCATGGTACATTCACATTTCCTAACCCTGAAGAACACGGTTTCTTTTTTTCCGACCGCTGTATGAAAGCTACAGCTCCGAGATCAACTCACACCAAAACCCAAGACCAATCAAGACGCCTCACGGGGCAAAGCCTTCAAAGTAGCACGTGAAGGCAGATGGCTGTGTTTAGATACTGATATCTGCTGTGGGTATCAGGACAAATTTATGACAAGCCAAGGGGATCAAGCCAAGGTGTAGCTCTGCCTACGGTTGAGGGATTTAAGTTGGGTAATGCCCCCCATGCAGTACGAGTCTGCAGTAAGGCTACTACTAAGGGCCCTATAGATCTAGAGTATATATATATATATATGTATATATATATATATATATATGTATCATTCAACTTTTACTGGGCCGGGCAATATCCAAGATTTTGACTCACACACAGGCAGGCATGGTTGCGAAGGTCTTCAGGGGCATGTGCTTCAATTCTCCGTGCACCGGCCACTAGCTGCTGACCCAGGAACTTTTCGGCGTACTCGGCGAAGCATAGACCTGCGCAACCCTTCAACACAAAAGGTGATGAGGGAGCTGTAAACTCGGAAAGTTAGGCCATAGATCCGCGCATAGGCCCTACACATCCTGAAACTCTTAAGCCCCAAAACCCGAAAGCTCTAAAGCCGTTAGGATGATCTGCAGCTATTTTCCGAAGGGGTTTCAAGCGATGAACTCTTAGAAAGGATGGCCTTCCCTCCAAAAGAAGTCCTCGCCCCCTAACGGATTATTTGTCCCACATGCCTTCATCCCTCCCAGCATACCCGGATACATGCAGCATGAGCTCTTACCTAAGCTCTCTTCTTCAACAACCAGGCCCAAAAAAGTTCAAACTTTTAGGATAGACCAAATATATAAAGCTAAAAAGTTTAAAGTTCTCCCATTGGCATATATCTAAGTAAGGAAAGCGGCTACAACAAATGAAAACTCAGGCGAGGCTTCACACCGGGACCTACCTTAACCTACCGAGGGTTTAGGGTTTAGGGTTTAGGGTTACTTTTTTGTAGGTTCTGATTCTAAAGCCTAATATGGGATTTATAGGGACCCTACGAAAAAAAGTAGGTTCTGGTAGGTTAAGGTAGGCAGAATCTTCGGCTCTGGTCCCAAAGATCCACTGCTCGAGTCCCGTCTGAAGCCAAGCGTCCAGGGAAACATAATGATGGTTAGGGTTTAGGGTTTAGGGTTTAGGGTTTAGGGTTTAGGTACTAATAATAAAACACAGCTGGCAACAGCAACTATGATAACAACGGCAAGAAAAACAAGAGTAGGATCAAGAGTGAAAACAAGAAAACTATGCAATAATGATAGTAGCAGGTACAATAGACATAATAAAATCGCACATGAAATAGCAAAACATAAACAACAATGCTAGTAACAATAAGGATCCACACAAATTCGCACGCATCCGACGAAATCTCTTAAAGTAAAACATGCTGGTCAGCTACAAGTATGTCATGCGACTCACACGGACTAGCTCGCGAAAAAGCAAGAACGAGGCAGAACGCAAGAAACGAAATTGCTGACGAGCACACAAGACCACGATGCAGATCGAGGCGCCGATCCCGAAGCCCTTATCTGCGGTTTAGGGTTTAGGACCTTATCTCAAAACCTGACTGTTTACACCCGAAGCCTAGGGCGATACCGATGTAATGCCAAGTGCCGACTCCGATGTGCAACAACACCCAAACCTTGATCCTGAGCCCTCCTACAAAGGGGCCGTTTAAGGTTTTTGGGCTTATGATTTAGGGCTAAGGGTTTAGGGTTTACTATAGGGTTACCTAGTGACTACAATAGGGTTGGAGTATTAAGTTCTCCGTTTTTAGAAGGAACCCTGCTAAGGATTGCTGTCCCTATAATCAGGCAGGTCCCTCCAGTACGAACTCAATGATAATGGCCAAGCTGCGGCATCTTTCTGCTCCTCGCAAGTGCACGAGTTTATTCTGGGGACACCCTCGATCATTCTAGGATTGAGTTGCAGGGACCCTAAATCCTTGTTTCTAGCCCCCTACACCCTAATCCCTGAGTAGATTCGATGCATGAATAGGAGGCCGACGCATCTCAAAACCAAACTCCTGGCTTAGACCACGCAGATCTGCTTCTCCGAGGTGAGGCAGCACCTGTTCAGCAAAACTGCTCAAAGTTGCAACAGTCATAGACCAAATAACCCCCCAGGCTAGCATGATGCTGATAGCAATATAGGTGATGCTTCACTATCATTGCGTTGTTCCTTCTGTGCGTGCACGCTGTTGGGATGCTGGCTGCCTGCTTCAGCCGCGCACCAGCAACCCCGGAAGACATGCAATGACACTACGGCTTTTGCTGGGAGTAGCCCTGAGACCCAAACCTCCTTGTTTTCGGGGGACTCAATGATTCTAGTCAGCACCATGTATCGCAGGCAAGCGTGATGTACGACAGGTTGGGGTTTTTAATGAATGGCATAGGGGGTTGGGGGTACTTTAAAGCAAATGTAATGTAGGGGTCTAAATAATTACCAATACTGTTTTGGGGGTTCCTTATTATAAGTATAGTATACAAAACCCTTTTCTAATTATTCAGGCCCCTATATTAGATAACAAAATCCGGTTCGGGTGTTTGGGGTTTCCCAGAGCAGAGCACCCAGAAGACCATAGGGTTTGGGGTCGACTGATGTAGTATAGGGGCCTTAATAATTAGAATAGGGTTTTGGGTCCCATTATACTATAACTATAATGAGGAACCCCCCAAATATTATAGGTAATTATTACGGCCGCCATTAAGGCCCCTACATTAGTACCCCGGGTGAGGAGACGCTGGGTTTTGGACGGGAGCCATAGGGAATCAGAACTCTTACTACTACTCTTGAAGGACCGTTTGCTCTCCAAATCTGCTGCAGCACTTCGATGCATGGGGAGAAGGGTGCAGGCTTATCGTAAGTGCTATGTTTAGGGTTTATAGGGTTCAGGGTTTATAGGGTTTAGGGTTTAGGGTTTAGGAATAGTGAATTACCGTCACTCGCGCCCAATAGTGAACTGACGGGTGCCTTTCTGGATGTGCCGCAACCCATGCTGCGACCCGTGTCAGGCAGTCGACGTGCAGTAGCTGAATTCACTTTAAACACAGCGCAGCGTGATGAACGTGAGAGGGCTTGGCATTTTGATCTGGTCCGCGATGCCTAGATTGAGGGAGTTTGGACGGCCTTTGGTGGGAGGATGTTGTAGGCCGGGCTGCTTGTGTACTGTCTGATCACTATGGTCTCAATCGCGTCCATGTTCATTGATTTGTCATCGGGTTGGGGTTCGCCCAATGCGCCGCAGTAGCTGCGGCAGAAACCATGCGCAGCCGAGCACATTGCTAGCACGACTGACAAGAAGCTGTGGATTTCTTGACGGGCTGGTCAATCACGGAGATTTTAATGAGATCCGGCGTTGGGCGCAAGAATTCAGGTTCAGAGGACCTCCCGCAACCAAAGCCAACTATGATGCCCCTCAAGCTAATTTAAGAGGATCCAGCGATGGAGTCTGGCCCTGCGACATTCAGCCCCTTGACCGAGGCATGCGCCTGTATCTTTTGTTTGGAGGTTCAAAGCTACTGTCGCCTTTTGCAATGCTGGCAAGGAAAGGAACTGAAATGCAACTTGGCAACAGAAACCAATCCGTGAACGCGGCAAAGCCAGAGCATCCGCAACCAATATTCGCTGAGGCCGCCCTGCCTGATCTCTAGCGCCTCCGCCTAGAAATCCTACATGCCTATAACTCCATTGCGAAGATGCAAGAATGATGAACGAGTTGATGGTCACGTTCTGGAACGAGGCAAAGCCGTGATCACAAGCTGGGGCTCTGCGGCAAACCTGGAATCGTGTTCAGGCCTTAGACCTTAAAGCGTGCCCTCTCGCGGGCTTTCAGGCCTCGCACTCCGTTTCCACATGTTGTTCATGAATTTCACTGGTGACTGCTGCTATGATCACATCATAGACACGAACGTGTGGCCATCTGTAAACATCCCGGCTAGATGCATATCTGCCCAGGGAGTAAACGTACAGCTTCAAGTTACACCGATTGCGAGAAGACGAAGATCCCCAGTGATGCTCTTCCCGAACCCATGCACAAGATCCGTAGAGTCCTCAAGCTTGGCAGTGTGCTCTTCCCGGCTCAAGAGGTCGTAACCTGAAGTTTTCTATGAGTAGGAGAAGAAACACAACAGACAAGTGTTCATCATCGCCGTGTTGAGAAGTTTGGTTAGTGACAGGCAGCCACACTTAACAGCCAGTGGTTGGTGACTAGTACTAGCATTGATAGTTAGTGGTGGGCCTATGTAGCTGGTACTCGTGGTGGCCGTAGTAGTAGTAGTAGCAGTAGTCGTCGACGTAGTAGTAGTAGTAGTAGTAGTAGTAGTAGTTGTTGTTGTTGTTGTTGTTGTAGCAGTAGAAGAAGCAGCAATAGCACTCCTCCTCCTTCTCCATCCACCACGGTACCTAGACAAATGCAGCCTCTAAAACCCTTACAGCCCAGGTACAAGACGCCTCTGCAAATCACGATTCTATGGTCTGAACTGCAGTTGAGGGTTTATAGGGTTTAGGGCAGTTTAGGGTGTTGCTGGTAGTAGCACTGAGACCAGAGGAGGTCCACCCCTTCCCTTCCCAAGGTATTTCAACCATTCCAAAACCCCAAGTCCCAAGCGCAACCCCTTGCGATACTCTTTTCACCACTGCACTCAAGTCTCGCAAGCCCTAAACCCGAAGCTCCTTAACCTTACACCCTACACGCTAAACTCCTAAACCCCCGTACGATCTATTGGCTTGCATGTGCCCAAGATGGCAGAGACATTTCCGGAAAGGTCGCATCGGCCGAGGCAGCCACCATCATTGTTGTAAATCTCCAGATAGGAGATGAACATGCCTTGGGGATTAGGGTTTCGGCGTCGGACACTTTAGGCGAGGCATATGGGGTTTAGGGTTTAGGGTTTAGGGTTTACGGTTTAGGGTTTCGAGGCCTGCAGTGAAGTGAAACACTCATCAATGGGTTTAGGGTTTAGGGTTTTGCGCGTCGGGGACGTGTGGGAAGCTGAGAGTAAACATGAGACACGCCATGCCACATGGATGTGCTAAATATCCAGACGCTATGCGAACTTTTTGTCTAGTTGCTCATGCTCAAACCCCAGTTTTCTAGCAAAAACTGGCACCCAAACAAGCGCCACATCCCTTGGTGTTAGGAGTTTGTGAATCTCAAAATTGACAGCCTAGATGCGAAACCAATCACGGAACACCACCACCGTTGAGACGAGCCAGACGACTCGACGACCGGGACCACCACGACCACCACCACGACGACCGCCACGACACCACCAGGAGACTCAGCCGATAAACCACGAGGAGACCAACCAATAGAATAGCATTAAACCACAGGAGACCACAAGGGAACCGCGGAAACACAAACAAATCACAAGGACACCACGGCCAAAGTGTTTTCCCCATGCGCTGGCCATGGGTGAGCCACGCAGCTATGTAAGAACCCAATACTGTCAATCGTATTCTTTTGGTGCAAAATCCAATCGCGAAACATGAAATTGGCCTCGGAATCCCGGGAACCAGTGAAACAGTTCAACAATGTTCCCTAAACCCAAAACCATGTTTGAGAAAGCCCACACCGGTAGTTTAGGAAAACGGGTGACCTTTGTGTATAATTAACTGCTACAACAGCAGGATCTGTGTGCAGCACCTCTACAATAATTCTTGGATTCTCTTGTGAGGACCCTCTAACCTATTCTCAAGAATCCCCTGAACCCTAAACTCTAAACCCTACCTGTGGCCCAAAAGACCTACCTTTTTAAGGAACTCTATATAGAAACCATGATGAAGAACCGTAAAGAAAGTAGGTCTTTTCGGCTACAGCTAGACCCTAAACCCTAAACTTCCGAAACCCGCAATGCCCAGCGAAGCTTTCAAGTCTTCAGGGGCCGTCCCTTCATGGAGATATCCCCAAAACTCATCTGGGTTCTTGTTAAGGGACTTAGTTTAAGTTACCATAATAGAGAAACCATATTATTCCCCAAACAGCTTTAGC